ATGAAGGGCGCACAGGTAATGGGAAACAAATAAGAACCAAGATACATCATGTACAGGTACAAGCACCCAATGATAAATGTAAATGTATTGTATGCCTAAAATGTACCAATAAAAGAATTTAAGTAAAAAAAGGAAAGTATACGCGGTGGTATGAGAAGTGGAAAAAAGTTGCTCTAAACAGAGAATAAATAGCAAAGAAGTAACAATTTTAGTAGCAAGGAACGTTTGTCTGGTTTAAGAGTAAGTGGTTCTAGACTACCTGTGGTAAGGGCAAGACAGTTCTTTTGTTCAGACTATCATCAGAGCAAATTATTGATAACATGTTCTTAATAAAAAAAAATGTAGGTGAAACTTTACTCAGAAAACTTACAGGCTTATTGACCAGGAAACTATTCAAAATTTCACTTAATTAAATCTACATATTAAATGTTAAACACATTATAATATCTAATGTATGTTTTACCTTGGCCATTATTCTTTGAAGTCTCTTGCGTTCAAGCCACCCTCTGACACGTGCTTGCATGAGAGTAATCATCCTAACTACTTTTTTGGTAATTATTAATCTGCTTCTTTCTTGGAACCCTTGGAAGATTTCTGTGTGTGGTCCAATTCTTTTAACTTTACTGCCCAATTTATCGGTTTTATTTATCCTAAAATAAAATATAAAAACTTCTTAGTGGTAACAAGAAAAATAAACACTTCTACAGTCTTAAATGCTTTCAACGATAACAATATTGACACAGGGAATGTATTTTAATTTGTACATAGAATTCAATATGTGATATCACTTGAACATGTGAACCAGGTTCTCAAAGAAGGCTACATAATCTAAAATCAATATATTTTCATATATAAATTTAACTTTCTGAGGAAAGGAAATTGAAAAGAAAGTGAATTTGTCCAAGTTTATTCACAACTATTCAAACGAGAATATTTTCACATTTCAGGGTAGATTAGTTCAGATAATTTTCCTGTCTCTGAAGCTATTTTAAATTGAAGACTACTTTAAAATTATTAAATTATGATTCAAATCCTCTTAGTCAATAAAGAGTGTAGTATGGTCACTGGAGTCGTGGGCCATAGGATCAGCAGCAGCGAAGGATCACACTGGGAAGCCAGGATCAGCCCTGCAAGACCGATACAGGTAGACTCTGAAGTGACTATACACATGTGAGGAACTGCAGACACTACCAGACACACAGTAATGGTAACCTTGGTGACTTTGTGTCTACTTCTTCCCTTTGTATATCTGATTTAATTTTTATATGATGGCCAGTTTTTTCAAAGACTTTTTACAGTCCAAAGTCTAGTTACCTTCAAATTCTTATACAAATGCTTTTGTTTCTATCTCCCCCAGGCAGAGCTGGAGTCCCACTGAGGTTCCAAATAAATTCATCCGTAAGTGCTGGGCGGTATTTCCAAAGTGCACTGTACTTTGAAAAAAGTGAGACCTCTGAATTCCAGATTGATTTTCTTAATTCTCAGGTTTGAACCTCTAGTTCAAATTGATTGGTTTGTTTTCCCCCCTTGGACTATCAGATTAACAGTCTGCTGGCTCTAAACTCAAAATACTTACACATCCACATGTTTTAAACATGGACCAAATAAAAATATTCTTAGTCACTTAGAGTTTCTTGTTTTGCATATGGCTTAAAATTCACACAATATATGTTAGTTATCAATAAAACAATTTGGAAGACCAAAGAACTCAAGCCGCTGATATTCTTTAGAGCTCTCAGACCCACAGACTCCACCCATCTTGTTGCAGATCACATGGGCATGTAAGTCCCCTCCCCACTTCCCCTTTCCCACAAGAGTTCCCTGGCCTTCCTTCCATCCTGGGAGCTGGCCCCAGGTCACTGTCTCCAGAAGGTATTTGGTCTGAGGGACTTCTCACATGCATACCAGCCCGTGGGGATCAAACTCTGGACCCTGCACTTACAGGTAGGCACAGCACCACTGAGCTAAATCTCCAGCCCTTACATAGGTTTTTCTTAAGTAGCTAAGTTTTGTGATGTTATTGTGTCAATAGATAACTGACATGCATACTTATGTTTTCACTCAAAGACTAATAAAATGGCTGTTAAATTCATTTTTTTAAAGATTTTTATTTCAGAGGTAAATTATGGTACTCATGCTGCACATTTATGGCATTAAAATTTTGAAACCTTGAGTTTTGTCAATGTTCTTAGGGTCAGTGATATTTCCTTACTCCAAGGTGTTCAACAAACAAATTCTTATGGATGCATATATATATATATATATCCTCAAAAGAGGACAGTATTCCTCTTCCCTCTGACATTGTTGGTTATGTAGTGAGCTCATGCTAAATGTATATCATATTGTTGCATATTGCACTGTATGCCTTTTGGGGATCACAGCACCAATAGGTGGTTGCTGCTTTTCCCTCTCCCTTCCCCAAAGATCCTACATGTCATGAATTTTGTTTTCTGAAAGAAACAGCAAAAGAACAATTGCTTTATAAACAATGCACCATTTTGTTAAGAATTTATGGTACAAAGAAAAGATTTACAGGTACAAGCTTTTCAGTACAAACTGATATCACAACCACGAGCCTGCTAGACTAGGCGAAAGAACTGGTTCAGGAGGCTATAACTGCATGTGGTAGTCTACTTAATCCATGATCAGGAGAATAAAAATTATCTCTTATTGAATAAACTGTTTGAATTGTTATTCATATTTATTTTCTAATAAAAGTGACAAAACTTCCTTTCTTTGAATCTATTTATGAATTTCAATTTATTTGCCTTTACTTGTATAAGCTAGAATGATGTAAAAATGATATGATTTTTAAATGATATAAAAATGGTTGCAACTGACCTTCAGTACTCAAGGAAAAAAATTACTAATGAAAATTTTCATATAGATTATAAATTAAGAAATTATCAGAAATAAATCAATAGAAATTAAGAACATATATTTATTTTATCCATAAAAAGTTAAATATAGAATGCTTTTACAGAGTTCATTATATCTGTATTTACTCACAAAGTTTTAATAAAAATCAAGACTTTTTTCTACCATGATATAACTGAAAAAATCTATTTGTATCCATTTTCCATATAGTTTACACACATGTCATTGAACTAGGAATGGTGGCTCTATTAAGGAATATGGATTCACTTATTATATTAAAATGATGCCCACTAAGTTCGTCCAGAAAACCAGCATACATTGTTAGCAGCAATACCTGGTGGAATATTTACTTCCTGGCAATCAAGAAATATTGTACGGGTACAAATTCTCTATGATCAATGTGACCAATATATATGAAAAATATGTACTAATAAAATATAAAGTTTACAAAAGAAAGAAAAGGGACACTTTTACCACTGTATACAATGAAGGTAAAACTGGGAAGAGACAATTGGATGATTCCTAATTCTGAACCTCAACAGAAGAACTGATGTGGGCAATAAAAATCTCTGCTGCATAAATCATTTTAAAAGAAAGTAACACTAAGAGATTTGTCACTCACCTAGACAACAGTGACTGATGCCTTAGTATCATGTGATGCTAGTTTTGCTAACAATACAGTATAATGTCTAGGCTTTAATCCATGCAATATTCCACATGTTAATGAGACTAGTCCAATATTAAGTTAAAAGTGGCTGAACAAACATATGCAGTCAAAACTGTGCCATATGAGTATGCCTTGATTACAATGAAGGATTCAGAAAACAAATTGACAGCTTGTCTTCCTTCACCATGAGTAAGTTCAGACCTCACACCTTGTGGGAAGGGTACCTGCTACCTTGTGATAAACAAACACAGGCAATTCTGTCTTGCACTAATCTCTAAAATAATTGGATCTCAAGCCCTTTATTACTGAACCCATGTCAAAATAATGATTTTTAGTCTCATGATACTGATTTCTTGGATAGAGATATAAACTTTAGTAAATCATTTAGTTCTTGTACACCTAAGACAACCCAAGAGTCAAATGTGGACAAACAAAACAAATTAGCTCCTTTCATCTAATATCAGATTTATAATCATTTTCTGAATAAAACAATATCTATTATTGATTTATTTTTCTTTTTGTTTCTAGCACCTACCCAAATCTTTTGTTGTAAAATTGCCTTTTATTGAATTTTAGAGCCTGTATCCCTATTAAAAACACCATATCCTTGCAAAAAGTTAACATTCCATATTTTGTCATTATAGTTCCTAATTTTGGAGTAATTCTTAAATTTAGTGACAGCCACATACCTTGAAGTTTAGTCATATTCTCAAAAGGTTTATTGTAGTTAAATAAAATATAAACCTGGCTAAAAATGGAAACATGAGTATAGTAAAATGTTCCAATAATAATGTTAAGTTAAAATAGAAATAATACGGCATCATTGTTCAGTTTCAAAATTAGGCAAAAATTTCTACAAAACTATCCAACTTCAGAAAAAGTTTTGTTAAAGATGAACTCCTAACATTATTCTTTACCTCATAATCTATTTGAAAAAGTGACTTGGCAATAAGGATCAAGAGTATATGCCCTGGTAATTAATTTCCTTTTTGGGAATTATGAAAATGGCACATTTATGAAGATATTTATCATAGATTCATTTATGATAGAGAAATTTAGAAATAAATCTCTAAATGGTGTTAAGTCCAAAAAATCAGGTCATAAAACTGATGAAGATTAGGGTTGAGAAAATGCTTATGATTTTAAACATTGATACTAAGAGAATAAAAATATTAAATTGTATGCATTACATGATTGTAAATTTTTAAGTATATAAATAAGGGCAGAAAGAAACATTCCAAAAATGCTATTGTGGGTGAATTAACACAGTGTTTCTAAACAAGGGTGAATCAAAATCACCTGACAATTATTTTCAAGAAACTCCTGGGCCGGGGATTTAGTTCAGTGGTTTCGCTGCCTGCTGTGCAAGCTCAAGGACCAGAGTTCGATCCCTGGTACCAAAAAAAAAAGAAAAGAAACTCCTACTTAGGACCTGCTTTCATCCATTCTGATTCAATGACTCCTTTAGTAAAATAGATCCAAATCTAAATGCTAGATTGTAACCAAAATATTAAGTTGTAAAGAAAATGATGATTTGTTCCCCATTTTCTGATTTTATTCAGATTTCCTGAAACTAATATTTAGTTTCAGGAGTAACAATAATAGAAATAGTAGCAACCTTTTATCAATCATTTGCTTTAAAATTTCACCATTGATTCAAAAAGATTTTGTTGGATAAATGTTACTATTCTAGTTTTATAAATGAGCAAACTGGTACTGAGAAAAATCAGGTGACTTCCTAAAATCATTTACTCAGAACTGAAAGCCCTTCCAATCATGTACGTGATAAAATCAAGAGGAAAAAACTATCATGGCAACAGAAAGGCAGGCACTGGCAGCATTCAATGCCTGTTTATTCAATTGTTTGTTTCAGTATTACTTAAATATGTAGTCATATTGTATATACAAACTCTGTTACTGAAGTATTCAACTGCTCCACCATCCAAGAATGAATAGCAGATAGGATGAGGGAAGGTATTGTGATGTCAGACACATAAAGGCCAAATGATCTCCTCTGAATTAGAAAATCAGTGGAAATTAAGCGTGGCTTGTCCTCCAAATACAACTTTTAAACTTACCTTCACTAACATGTTTTCATATGAAGAG